TAGAGGGAAAGAAAAACAATTAATAATTAATTATATAATTATTAATAAAAGTTTATACCTATATTTGTTAATATATTATTGACATGTTTATATCGTAAGTGCCACAAAGACTCATGTACTTGTACGAAAATAAACCATGCAGAATGGAAAAATTGTTAGAACCCAGGCCCAGTATAATTAATAATTAGGCATTCCAAACTGAATGGCTACCAGTGGGTTTTGACGGGTTATGATATGGCAAAATTATAACAACCCTGTAGGCCTGGTGATTTGACAAGGTCAATGAAATAGATAGTTACATAGATTGATCATCCATATTTTTTAAAATAAACAAGCTTATGCCTTGAAGTAAAAATGTAAGCAATTATTTTTCTTTAAATATCTAAAGGCTAAAAATTGGTTTTAAAACACATTTTTGCTAAACCGATTGAAATAAATAAATATTTGCCAGGCAATATGGCCGCTCGTAAACGACCAGCTTTGAGCAATCTATTTAACTATATATGAATCATTGACCCTGTTAATGACAACATGACAACAGGGTTGCCATATCTAAACTGTCATTACCCACTGGTAGCCATTTGGACAGGTCGTTGGAATGCCTAATACAATTAGGCATTCCAAACAAATGAATTACCAGTGGGCAGGTTTGGTATATCTAAGGGTGGCGACATATGGTGTATTCTATCTACTTTACGTAAAATCATGAATAATGGATTACATTTAAATATTTTATGTCAAACACAAAAAAAATAATATTTAAAAAACCCACCTATACATTTCTTCATAAATTGGCAGGCTTGGCGAGTACTACTTCGAATAAAAATAGCGTCTAAGTTGCAAGATAATGTCGCTACCCCCTTAGATATACAAGAATTTCCCACTGGCACCTATTGTTTGACAGGTCGTTGGAATGCCTAATGGCGACAGCTTGAGTCAGCTCCTTTGATGTCGAAATGGTAAGATTTTTATTGTCAGTTGACGTTTTTGCTGCTTATTTCTACACTGAGAAAAGTAACTTCAAAATATATTGACCCTTTGTCTGTTTGAATAAAATATCACACAATAAATGAAAGATGAAAACTAAGTCTAAATGTAAAAAAATGTATTTAAATATGCATTACAGCCAATCAGATAATCAAAACAATCAACCACCATTAATCCATTGACAATTTACATATGCCAGTTTGACGTATTTGCCGCTTCTTTACGGACATGCGCAGAAAAATATGGAACCCTTATAAACACTCAACTGTCGCTACTTTATTATTACTTATACTAGGACCCAGGTTAAATTTTCGACTGCAAATGCCTTAACCGCAAGTGGGAAGACACCGACCGGTTACACCGAAACAGTTTTTATTTATTTTTGAAAAGAAATTGCTCTCGTTCTAAAAGTTTATTATTAGTGTTCAGTCGAGCTGATTTTGAAAACAAACGACGTTGAACAAACAATTGCAAGTGCAATAAACTCAACTCGACACGATCTGCATAATGACATTTGAAAATTCAAAATCTCTTCCCAGCAGGGGATAAAAGATAAACGTTGCCCACACTTTATCTAAATTTCGTCGCCAGACACATACATGGATTCGTTTTAAATTGTGTACCTACCTAAACAAAGTTTCAGCTCTTTTGGGGCGTTAATTAAAAGTTTTTCAAAAGGCATTTACCACGAATAATCCGATAATTAAAAAAGCCTAGCGTACGATAGGAAATTCAAACAAAAGGTCCGATAATTTGGAACTGATCTTTTGTCTGACTTGTGTTTTATTTTTATCAGACGTAAATATTTTTTAAAACAAGAAATTAAAAGTTATTTCTGTGTAAACGAACAGCAGCCAGTAACGTCAATAAATACTGGAAATCCGTAAGGGATTTAAGAAGAAAGTTTTACTACTTGGTGTTTTAATAAATTTTATAGCACAAGTAGAAGTTGGAAAGGCTTTTGGTAGGTAGAGAGGGGGTAAACGTCAAACCACGTCGGACGGCTTCGAGAATTTCGCAGTAATGTTTACCTGCCAGTGTTGTTTCATAGAATAAGTAATTTTAAATGGTTACCGACGGAACCGGCCAATCGCATATATTTATGGACTATAAATAATTATTAAACATGTATTATACTATTCAAATTTTAATTTTACAAAATTTCAACAGCTAATTGGTCAGACGACGTCACAAGGAAAAAGCGCTTGCATTCTTATTGTTACATAGAGACTCGTACACATGCACATCTCAATTTAGTACACACTAGTGTAATAATTGGCATTATTATTATTTGAAAAAATCTAAAGAATTTACCAAAAATTCTAAACAAGTATTTAATGTTTAAATTAAATAATTAAAAAAGACACGTATGAAAATGAAACAAACCTTCAAATTATTAATCTACATTGAACGTGACATTGTTAAATACAATCAACCATCACGTAAATTTTAGCTTATATAGAAAGGATCACTTGGGTAAACTCTCAGTCGAGATCGGACTAAGGTCCAGAACTTTCGCTTCAGGGGCGAAAGCCCTGGTTTTGTATTGTAAAGTAAAGTGTAGAGTATAGTTTTTGTGTACGATGTGAATTATGTTTAATATTAATTGATTGATTGATTTACATTTAAATGCCAATTTTACATTTTCGTCCCGAATTATATTTATCTTATGCATATCTTTATATTACTATGTAGTTATAGTGATTTATTCCCTAAATGGAATTTTATTTATTTTTTCTTAAGACTATTTGTCAAGTTTTATATTTATTGTTATAATACATTTGTTAATGTTTTAATACTTATTATTAATCTCTTCTCCCTTTCCAAACTAGCAACATACTCCGAGCATTTGAGAAGCCTCGGCGTTTCTATTCCCTTAGGACTAAAAGGGTGTAAAACTAATTGCCAAGAACCACTCGACTATGCTATTAAGGGATGATTTTTTTTTATTCTTTTAATTTAATTTTTTTATATTTTTATTTGCCACTGGTCAATGGATGTTCCTTCAGGACTCCAGGATCCTTTGGCTGGTGACGACGCTGCCCTAATCCCTTAATAGTATATTAACAACAGTAGCTAAAGACCTATCAGTAGTAACAAATGGTCTTTAGGCTTCCTGGTTGTTACACTGGCAATGGCCAGTATTTTAATAAAAGTTGATTTGCACAATCAAAAAAAAAAAAAAAGAAATATTGTGAATATAGTATCCAATGTTGTTTATGATATGTTGTGTTATGTTAAAAATGTAGGAGATTTATGATAATAAAATGTGTTTAGTAATATGTGGATTTAAATTCAATAACATCTGCAAGAAATCACCAGGTCTATTGCCAGTAGGTTAATGGAATTGGCCACCAGGTATCTTCCTTTAAACTAATGGATTACAGTTCATCTCATTTTGGTCAGACAGGGCGCCGTATTAAACGATGTGTTATGTTGGATAGCAATCTACAACACCTTTACCCTTTACTCCTTAAGTCTCTCCATGTAAAAATATTTGGTCCTTTTACTCCTTAATCCGGCCCATGTAAAAATATATTTTGTGTCTTTACCTCTTAAGCCTGTCTATTTGGAAACATTTAAGAACATTCATGAATTTATGGAATAAATTTCTGAACCTTTAAAGACAAAAAGTTGAGAAAAATTGAATTGAAAATTCCGAGAAAAATTGAATTGAAAATTCTGAGAATAATATCTAAAGGATGCCATTATTTCTTCTATCGAAGAGCTTATATGTGACCTTTCGTAATACATTCGAAATGGCTAATAAAATTGGGCCAATCAATATGGTTACCTGAAAAATATAGCAAATTCTTGTTGATGGATTGTCTACTTACTAATTTTTCTAAATAATTTGTTTTATCATAATCTAGCATCTCAATCAGTTTGAAGGTAGATTCTTGTTTTCTTCTTTTATCCATTTCCTAACATTTCTGACTTAGCAACTTCGTATTTCCAATTCCTGTACATTTAAGTATGTTCTAGTTCTAACTGTATTTGTTGACTTCTTCTTTACAGTTTTGGTTTTTCTGATTCACTTTATTTTTTCTTAATATCTCGTAAACTTTTATGGCTTTAAGTTCGGACTGTAGCTTCATCCTTTTCTCCGAAGACCTAGTACCTACCCTCAAACTGACCCGTGCTTTGGCTTTTTTTTACATAGACTCATTTTGGGCTTCTACCACTTGTGTGTCATTATTTTTATATGTTTGGAACTTTCTCCAACTTTCTTGCCAGACCGCAGTTGGAATCCATCATTTCTTGTCTCAGACATCTTCAAAAAGGTTCCTTTTAACTCGAAGAACCAATGTAATGCCTTTGATGGGCAACAATAATAATAACAGAATGATCAAAAATTAACACAAACTTATCTAAAATGTATACGAACCCTCCATAAAGTACCCCTAGATACTCCGAATATACCATAATTCTAATCGACTCACCGATTGATGGATTACAAATTTAAAATTTGATGTTTTTCTCTTTATCTTTAGTAAGTTATTATGGCTACAGGCACACACAGACGCACATCAATTGGAAAAACGAATTCAGGGGCTCCTGAAACGTAAATATTCGTCGAAAGCTCGAGGTCGAAAATAATCATAATTCCTATAGATACTTTCATTACTGGTTACAGTAAAATAAAAAGAGTTACAAAGCTAATAGTACTAAAACTAATATAACATAATTGTAAATATCGTAAATAATGTTTTAAATAATAAAAAAAAAATTACAAGATTAATGCATATAAATTAGTTATAAATACCGATTGTGTCATTTTACCTTCCTTTGCCCTATACAATTTTATTATTTATGTAAATGTAATAGATATAAAATTAATGTCACTGATAAAACTAAAAGTTATCAACAATTTAACGAATACTGTAAAATAGTATACGTATGCCTATCTACATAATAAACTATTTTTAGTTTTAGATAGTTATTAAAAATTGTTTAAACGGTAGCTAATAAATTCTTTATAATAATTGAAACAAATCTATGTATGCCACTGACAATTATGATGACAGTTTGTCACAATGAACGTCAATTTTGACGTTATCATGTGTTACACTTTTAAAAAACTAGTGAAATCTTATGAAGTACATTTTTATATTATCACATGGAAGTTTTAATAATTTTTGTTAATAAAAATAAAAATATGAGTAAACCTATGGATGTGAGAGATAATTTTGAAAGTGTAAGTACTGTTTGTTAATTTATTCCAAATATAGTTTTGAACCAAGTGTGTGCATCTTTTAATGTTTTTATTTTGAAATATTTGCAGTATTATTTTGTATTATTGTATAAAAACTGTTTGTATTGTAAATTGGATTTATTCTGTAAACATTCAGTACAAAATAAAAGTAAATAAGTAAAGAGTAACGAGTTCAATTTTGGATTCGCTCTCGCGCTGTGTGTCCTACACAAAATAGTTGAAACATACAGGTTGTACCAACAAATAAATATAGTAAATTTAACCACAGTTTAAGGGCCATCCTCCGCCTGAATTTTTAAGTAAAAACAGCGGTTAAGCTCGTGCGGAATTATAACTTTATTTTTCAAAATTACTTAAAACTGCTTGTGTAGGAGAAGAAAGAAGAGGTATTTCTAGGGATATATAAGAACAAAATGATGAAATTTTTTTAAACATTGCTATTATTCGAGATAGAAAAGGTGACAATATTACGTATTATAAGGCGCTAATCATGTCGTTACAAGAAATAATTTGGAAAATCTAATTCTATATATCTCTGTTGCAAACCTTTAACTTTGTCCTAAAATGTTCTTTCTTCAAAAAAAAGTCAAATAATAAGTTAGTAATTGCGCACGGCCTGACCCTCTGCAAGTTACATTTTTCTAATCGTAATGTGGCGCCCTCCGCACTGGAATCTATTAACAACAAAACTAATAGATGTGATTCTTAAGATGTGATCTGTGATCGTGTTTTACTTTTTGGACGGAGTAAAAAATTTTGTAAGCCCTTTATTAATTGAAGGGCTTATTGTAAAACATGATTAGTCGAACAATCAAGTGATTTCATTTTAACAAAGTTGTATTAGTTATAGAACTTTTAAAGACGTTTTTCCTTAATAAATGAATGTTGTGGCTTATCATGTTATTCCAATAAGCCCTTCAATTAAAGTATTTAGTTGGGTATAAGCCAATTTTTATGCAAATGTATAAAATTTTGTTTTTTTTGGATTCTTTTTTAATTATAAAGTATACAAACTGATTAAATCAGAGAACAGAGCCGTTTGTAGGTCTAATTAATAATAATCATTATCAATTTATTTAAATTATTCAATAAAGTAGAAAAGCAAAGAGAAAACGATATTTTAAAAACAGTTTGAATATTTTATTGCAACAACAATGTTGCTACAATACCTAAAATATTAAACATGTAGGTACTTATATAATACTTTATATGAATAAAAAAAATAACATAAAGTTATGACTAAGAAAACTAAAACTAAAATAATATAATTTTGAAACTAGGTAAGTAGTTATTTTTTTACAGCTTCTAGTATATATTTTGGTTCTCTAATATTTCTAGATTTTCTAGAATCTATAATTTCCGGAAAAATACAATTAGAATAAAATTGACAAAGAACTGGTTTCATGCTTTTCACCCAGAACTCAGGATCCCTAAATATGGTGTCAGTTTTTAAACCGTGCGCTGTTCAAACAGCAAATATACAGTATGATCTTCTGGAAATTTGCAATTGCCCTTGCACCTGATAATATATTTTATTATTGTCACCGTTTTTCGACCAAAAGGTAATTTTTTTGTTTGAATACCTTTTTCAGGCGTCATATTCGGCGCTGAATATTGGCATTTAATTATGACAATGCCTCTGTCATCTATTAGGCCATCCGGAGTAGCGGCCAAAAAGGAACTTTCCTCATCTATGAAAAGACCACATTTTCTAATCGGTTTGTCAAGATAGCTTCTACAAACCACTTACAACTGGTAGTCGACCTTCTTTTACATACTGAACCAAACAGAAGCAGTTAGACTTTTTCTTCTTTCCAAAATTCAGATATTGCAATCGGCCTGCTCCGGTGTTAAGTCAGTCACACTGTTGCTGTCTACGTCATATATAAGACTAGAAGCGTGTCGAATAAGGTAATTTTTGTAACCGGATAATCTCTGAAACAAAACAAAAAATGATATAAAAAAATTAAAAAAAATCTGATTACCTACTTGCCTGTCAATTGTAAATCTTTCATCACAGTTTCTATTGGCTTGATATGCTCATTTCAGAGGATACCTATAGATTTACATTCTTTGTGTTCCCCAAACACGTGACTTAATAAGTTCTTTGTATCTCTCTTTAAATTTTCGATTTTTCGTGAAACAAACAAATGATCGTCACCTTTCCAATGTATGTATGTATTAACTGCCACCCTCAATCTAATCTGATTTTGCTAAAAGTATAATAAATATTTCTTACTCTCGGTCAATAAAATTTTAAAGTTGCTAAATTATTTAATTATTAGTAACTACTTTTATTCATAAATAAAAATAATAGAGTAATAAACTAATAAATGACACTACATAACGTATTGGAGGCTTATTTAATTTCACAATTTTTTGAAAGTTAATGTTTCTGTCTGTTCGCCACTTAACGATATCATCTTTCTTCTATGAAGTATTTGGCACACGTCCAATTAGACGGGAATGGTAACTAGCGTTATTTATTACTATAATTGAACCTTTTGGTAAATGTTCTATTATCTGCTGAAAATATTCTTCAAATACATCAGCGTTCATATCTTCATGGTAGTCTCCGGTTTTTTAGATTGAAATGTTAAAGAACCACGTTTTAAAAACCTGTCATTACTTCCAACATGAGTTATAATTCGTCGTTTTTTACCGGAAGGAACCTTCAATCCTGTAGATAATCCCTCCAAAAATCCTGATTGAATGTTTGTGTCCTGCCACATTTTTCTAACTGTACAACCTTCATTCACCTAGGTTTCGTCCAAATAAAATATTTTTTGCCTTCTGCACGTAATTTAAAAATGGTTCAGAGGTATCTCCGTCCTGTTTATCCCACTTAAACTTCAAATCCAATAGAGTTTCCCGTAGTTTTGTCCTTCCCATTTTAGAAAAATACGGATCACTATTGATTGCGTCCAAAACCTTAGCAAGTGTGGGTATCTCTTTTTTAAAATAAAACCCTTGAACTTTTCTTCTTATTCCTTTATTAATTTGTTCAGTAAATTCTACTTTTTCTTACCTCCTGTATTTTTCTTTGGGGGTTTAACAACTCCACTTTTTAATTCGCTTATAAATTTATATATCGTTGATTTGCTTACACCCATCATATTACTTGTCTTTTCAACAGTATCGTCAACAGAAAACAAAGATTTTCCATTCTTAGGCAATTATAAACATTGCTTACAAATATTTTCTCGTTAACTGACAACGCACAGTTCTTTATACGTTTCACAGGTGTATACTTTGAACTTAAACCACACTGCAATTTTTAATACTACAGTCACTATTAACCGAAAATAACCACAACTTCTTAGTGTAATAAATAATATAGAAGACTAATCAAACAGGGTAGATAATATTGGGAACTGATCAAGACACTAACTGCACTGCCTTCATACCAAATCCTAGTTAGGTAACCATCTTATAATCCCACCCCCTGTTATCATTTTGGTTTTTCCTTGGCATTAGTTATATCCAAGAAGATGATAAAAGAACGATTAACCCTTAGATTATAGATTTATATAATCTAAGGATTTATTCTATTTACATTTTTAATACAATTAAACAATAATTTTGAACCTTCAGATTACTCTCTATAATCTAAGCTGAAACCTTTCTCTACACTTGTCATCAACTTTCACCTTGACATTAAAAATTTCCAAGAAGTCAATGATCAATAACGAGTTAAAAAATTTAATGTAGGTATACCTAATTTTTAGGTCTTGAAAAATATTTGTTACATACCTTGTTGTTAATTTACTCAAACAGATAACTCTACCATTTATATAAAAATTGCAAATAACTCAAAAAACATTTTGTAAAGCACTTACATACCAAAATAATACTCAATAATACATATTCAAAACAATATATTTTTAAATGATGATTTTATGTATCCCGTATATAATAACACACCTGAAATTTCCTGATCTGACAGATTTATTACTCCATGTTGATTGCGATTCTACTATAGTATTGTCAGAATCTGAAATAGCTTGAATTAATTTATTTTTTCAAAAAAAATTATGTTTATTTTCATTAATTTATTATTTACATAATTTTTTTCTTTTATTTTATTTATTTATTCTTTAATACCTATATTAATTTTTAATTTTAATTTAATAGAAATCCACTTTTTGTTTTTTTTTTCACAAACATACTGTTCTACCCTGCAGTGCCGTAGTTGCATTTAAGTCCTTGAAAATGACTGAACAATGTGAGTAAAAAGAAAGCAATCTGATCCTTGACGTTCAAGTCCATTTACGGAGAGAATAATTCTCGCAGCGATTTTTCGGGGTAAGTCTAGAGCAGGCAAAACAAATTATTTTCTATTTTTCTCTTTTCCTCACTTTAACTACAACTATTGGTTTGGCTACAATGATTACTATCACGTCGCTTTAAACAACATTCATCGAGTCGCGGTGGTGTATTTTTCCACTTCTCTGTAATAAAAACTAAATCACAAATACACAGGGTCTATTTGTGGATGTATAATGGACACACTCAGCTTAGAAAACAACAATGACAAAATGTGGTAATTTGCTCCATGATCTAGAATATAAGTCTATCGTCATTCTCAATCTGATCTAAGAAAAATACCCATAAAATGTGAGGATTAAATTAGGATAATAATTTCTCCGAAACAGTTAAAATTTAATCATCTTCAACTTGTACTTACTCGTTAGGAGTTTTCCCAACAATTTTAAATGACGCTCCTGCAAGAGATTTATTGCGGAGTTTGGAACAAGCGCGTAAGCTTTCATGATCACTTAACGAAAACGAAAAAGCTACCAGGTGTATAAAGTTCCTCGTAATTAACCGGAACCCTAATTATGGCGAGCAAGATAAACTATCAAAAGGCCAACAAATTTATATAAATGATTTACGCGAGTCGTGAAATGGATATTAAGGATGAAATATTACGTGGAAGTTTAAATCGCCTGGAACAGTTTCAGGAACGGATGGATAAAAAG